TCCAGGCCAGTCAGGACCCCAGGCCCCCGGCTCTTGGGCATCCCTTGCAGTGGGCCCCCGGCCCTTTTGACCTTCTCTGGTCCTGGCCCCAGCATGGGCCAGTCGAGGGTACTATCCCCTTCGGGCTGGGTCTCTAGCCCCTCTCTCCCATCCTCGGGCCTCACCGTGCCACTACTCCCCATCCTCTCAGGGGCAACCGCAGCACCACACCCTGTACTCCATACACTCTCTCGGGGTCCACCCTCTGGGCCCCTCCAACATAGGGTTACCCACCCGGTGATGGGAGCTAGGGGTTAAGGCACCCCAACCTGCCTTTCAGCAGGGTGATCACTGGCCTGGTATTTCCTGGAGGCTCCCGCACCACTGAAAGCCCCACCAGACCACCCACTCCTGGCAGGGTGCAGTTTCAGGTCATGCCCAGGACCAGGAGCCTCCTGCCAACCCCTTGCAGCTCCCCCTTACCTCCAGGTCATTCACAGCAGCCCTACAGCCAGGCAATGTTGCTGCCTGCCTCCAGCAGCCAAACTGCCTTGTTTATATAGGCAGCCTAGGCCTCAAAATGACTGCCCTAATCAGGCACCTGGAGGCTGCCAGCTCCAGGCCCTTAAAGTGGCAGAGACACCCTGTGCTCTGCCACACTGTGTTTTGTTAACTGGATGAATATGTCTGCGAATGTGAATGCCTAACCTTTATTGAATCCCGTCCTCTCGGGGTATTGTAGTGTCCCCTATACCCCCTGGTTTATATATGTTATGTTCCCACCACTGTTTTTCTCATTAAAAGGTGTATGATTAAGTCCCCATTGGTGATCTGGCTCTGCTCTATAGGGGAAGGAGGGTCCCAACACCTCCCACAGCGCTCGTGCACCTGCTCTGATCCCTTCAATTGGAGAGGGGGTACATCTTGGAGTACCACTCAGGTTACATCTATATAGATCAGGCACTTCAGCAGGGCTTTTTGACACTTTTATCTAGCACTGGTTCAATTAGCTATTAGATAAAGGCATAAAAAAGTGCCACTGAAACATGCAATCTATACAGATGTTGGGCGACCCAGGTCCAACTAATGCGCTGCTTCTTCTGGGCATGTGCTGTGCTGTGTGCAGGCACGATGAATTTAATGTTAAGTGCTGGGTTTGCGGGGGAGGGGGGCAGTTCATGTCTGTAAGCAGCCCATATTTTTATACAGCATTACCATTTTTGTGCATTACAAAATGGAAACGCTACAGTCAGTCTGGTATATCATTCATGACTAAGGTGGGACCTGCTCTCTACTCAGGAGGGCAGCAGTATAATAACCTATTTATTTTGCATTTATTATATTTATGTTAATCTCTTTATTTATTATTGATTTATAATTTGAGTTGGTCTAATAAAAGATATCAGATTTACCCAAAGAACCTTGTCTGCTTATAATAACCTATAATTCTACTAGTGGATCGGCCTGGACATTGTGTTCTCTTGAGTAAATGTTTAAGCTGGCTTTTACTTTTGGAAAGACTGTAGCCAAACAACTGTTTTATAGTAGCTTCTTGTTCTTGACTGTAAGTAGGATTCTAGGACCTGCCACTCATTGCATTTTATTGTGGTACAACACAGCTGTCTCACCAGTGCATCTGCTTTCCAGAAATCCTACAGGGAATATAGACGGTGTCAAGTATACACTCTTGATATCCTCAGCACCCAGCCAAATTAAGCAGTCCCAAACTGGGGAGAGAAGCCAGGTGCTTTGGGATGGGATAGAAACTTCTCCCAGGTCAGTGAGTGACAGCCCATCTGCTACTGCAGCTGCAGAACGGCAATGTTTTCTATTCCCATTGTGCTCCCAGATGCCAGTGGCCTGAATGTAATCACTTCCTCTGCTAAGATGTATGTTGTTTTCCCAGGATCCTGTATCCTCCCATGACTAAGGAAGGGGGAAGGAAAATGTGTGGTGTCAGACTGATATTGTAAAAGGAAGTAACATTTCATAGGTACTTTTTCAAGTCTTATACAAAGGCTGGCAACACTAGGGCCCCAGCAACCAAGTACCTGACCCTGAAGGGGTCTCTTGCCTGGCTTTAGCAAAGTATAGTATCTGTAGTTTACATTCCTTTGGTATACCCTGGCTTTAAGCACTGAACCATGGGACCACATAGTCTTATTTCAAATCACTCTGTGTAATATACACAGAGGCAGACAGACTGAGGTTGCTTGGGAAGCTCCTGGCAGGGCAAAATTCTTAGTTTTGTACCAATAGAAAAAAAACACAGTCATTAGTGGGGGAAGTGAAAGGGCCGGTGGGAAGTCCATACTAGGGAGGAACAGTTGAGCTGTCTCTGACCTTGGACACATGTTACTTTTGTAGCACTATCTACCCCTTTATAGCACTACAAAAAGCAAGTGTCCATATATCCAGGCCATTTACAATACTACAGAGATAGTGGATCCACTAAAAGATAATGCAATCTACACAGAAAAGTTCCTGTTTCTGACTTGACAGCCTATGGGGAGCAGCACTGGTTGAGGACTTACAAGAAACAGGCAACTGGAAAAAGGTGAAGTGATGAATATAGTTCCAGTATGAAAAGTCAATATGAGAACTTCTTTTTTGGGACAGGAAAATGTTCTACCTATTTAAATACATATATGTTGACTTAAATCTTAGAAGTGGCTGTCAGAATTAAGTCACCTGTCAACCAGTGAAATGAATCATGTTGTATTTTTGTTCTGCAGGGACAATCAGTTCTCCTCCAATCTCTGTGGTGATCACCTCTGAGGCTGAGACTTGGGACATTGATGCATCTTCTTGCATGGGCTCTGGACAGTTTGTAGATTGGGATAAGATGCCAGAATTGGATCAAGAGACAAAGAGCCACAGAGAGATCCTCAGCAAAACCACTAGGGAACTGAAAAAGCTGGCAAGAGAAGGCTACTGGACTACCAGCCACAGTCTAAGAGCTCAGGCTTACCACCATATCATCCAGCATATCCCCTGCCGGCTTGTGACCCCAGATGCTCTGGTCTATAGGGATGTGGCAATCAGGCTGTTTGGAAAACAGAATGTGAGCTCCCATCCATTGCCTGAATTCCTTGAAGGATGCTTCATGCCCACATATTGCCTGACTAGGGAAGGTACAACAGCAGTAAAGAAAATTCTCATCTGCATTGGCAACCTCTTCCCTGACATCACCTACTGTCCAATTCTGCCTGCGATTGTAACTCTGCTGCTGCACTACAGTGAAGATGAAGCTCAGTGCTTTGACAATGTCTCTCACCTCATTGCTTGCAATGACTCCCACATCAGCTATATTGACCAGTCTTTCTTGGCCCACAAGGCTTCCTGTATGACTTTTGGGGATCTGGCTAACAAGCACTGCCCCACAGCTCACAGATTAATAGCCAGTGCTTCTGAGAATGTCTCAGAGGTCTATTCTGAATGGTTAACATGGCTCTTTGGTGAGCTTCCCTTTGATTATGCCATACGCATACTTGATGTATACCTATTGGAGGGACAGAAAGTCCTCTACCGGATTGCTCTGGCCTTGCTGAGACAATACAAGCTCTTGGTGACCTCGAGAGAGCTTGAAGTGACTGACATCAAAGGGGATTTGCAAGCTTTCATGCAGAACATTAGAGAGCACATGACTGTTGATAAGCTACTAGAGAGAGCTTTTGGTATCAGGCTATTCTCCCGCAAGGAAATCTGGCTTCTTCAGATGGCAAACAGGAAGGCTCTGCTGGAGAAAGGGATTACTATGGTGCAGCGCAGGTAAGAAAGCCTGATTTATTCACCAGCATGCTCAGGTAATGTTCCCTTGTGCTAGCCAGACAAACCAAAAACAATAGGTGTATAGAGAGAGAGAAAAAACAGACAGACGGATCTATCAGTCAATCTCACTGGAAGAGCTTGTTAGGAATGTTTTCAACAAAATCTTTTTTCACTGAAAAATTCAGATTAATCAAAATCAAAAACTTTTTTGTAAAAAAAGTATAAGTTCAAACAAAACTCATGTTTAAAAGATCGCTCAGATTCAGAATAGAATTATATGGAGGTGGAAAGGTTGATCACAAGCAGCCAGCATGGATTTGTCAGAACAAATTGTTAGATGTCAGATGTCAGAACAAATTGTACCAAACACATTTGATCTCATTATTTGACAAAGTCATTAGGTGGGAGAATGAAGGGAATGTAGTAGATATAGTGTATCTGGACTCCAGTAAGGCTTTTAACAACATCCTACATGACCTTCTCATAAACAAATTGGAGAATTGTGGATTAGACAAAGCTATTACAAGATGAATAGATAACTGGCTCAATCGCAGCAAGAAAAGTGTCATTATAAATGGATTGATGTCAGAATGGAAGGTAGTATTGAGTGGAGGCCCACAGGGTTCTGTCCTGGGCCTGGTACTGTTTGACTGGTTGATTAGTGATTTGGATACTGAAATAGAGAGCTCCCTGAGCAAATCTTCAGACAACACAACACTGGGAAGAAATGCAAGCAAATGGGAGGACAGGAGCAAAATTCAGAAGGATCTTGATGGGCTAGGAAGCTGAGCAAGAGCCAGTAGGATGAAGTCCAGTGCTCACAAATGCAAGGTGCTTCATCTCAGGAAGAATAATCAAAAACGCAAAAACAAAATGGGTAACAACTGGCTGGTTGACAGCACTATGGGTAAGGATCCAGGAGTCTTAGTGGATCACAGACTCAGTGCCTCTGCAGTGTAACACTTCTGCAAAAAAAGGCAAGGCAAGTTTTGGGCAGCATCAGTAGGAGCATTAGGTGCAAAACACAAGAAGATGATAATGGCTCTTTAATATGTACTGGTTAGGTCTCATCTAGAGCATTTCTCAATCTGTGGGTCACAACCCAAAAGATATGCCGTCACAGATTCAGTGCTCATATATGAAAGGGTCATGAATAAACTTGAAAAATGGATCAACAAACTTTAAAAATGGATTCTCCTTTAAAGGAGAAAAACTTGGGGAAACTGTGCCTTTTTTCCCTTGTAGACTGGCAGAGTTTCAGCCTGCAAGGGGCTGCTTAGAGCCCCCCACCAAACCTCCCACCCCACAAACCCACCCCTGCCTCACACACTGAGGGGCTGGGGCTTGGGGGCAGCAGGTTGGGAGTGAGGGGTACTGGAGTGGGACTGCCCATCAATGTTTACAAATGGGTCCTGGTACAAAAAAGGATAAGAACCACTGATCTAGAGTACGGTGTCCAGTATGTGGAGAAATCAGAGAGGGGCCAGAATACAGCAACAAAAATGATAAAGGGCCTGGAAAGCAAACCATTTGAAAAAAGTTAAAAGAAATAGACATGTTCAGCTTCCAGAAAAGGCAGTTAAGAGGGAACATGACAGCAGTTGTCAAATATCTGAAGGGCTACCATAAAAAAGAGAGAGAACAGTTTTTCTTTGTCACTGCAGAGAGTAGGATGTGTAGCAATGGCTTGAAATTTCAGCAAGTTTCAAGTGGATTTCAAGAAAAACTTCTTCACTGTTAAAACAGAAAGGCAGTGGAATAGTCTGCCTAAAGAAGTCGTAAAGTCTCCTTCATCAGAAGCTTTCAAGAAGAGGTTGGATAAGCATTGGTCAGCGATGACCCAGGAGTGGCTATGCCTAGGGTATGCTGTAAAGAGCAGCTGTTGGAAACCCAGGAGCCCCCTTCACACAGATTGCTAGGGATCATGTGAAGATCTCTGGAGCCCAGAGGGGGTGGATATTGAAGAAGACCATGCCAAGAAGCAGAAGAATACAGCAGAGCTCCAAAACCAGCTTAGTTATAAAAGAAGATTAAAGGAGGTGGGATACGTTTATGGAGGGGGTAGAATGACAGAAAGGGGAGTTCTGGCTCTCTAGTTAGAGGGCATTATGTGGGGAGTTGTTTGCAATCCCCAGGTTGCAGAGTGGTGTGGAGTGTGTTTGGTTTTTCCCATGCTCGTTTGCTTTCCTGGTTGCCACATGGGACCTGGAAGGAACTTTTTCCCTTCTGTTGGTACAGGTGCCAGTATTTTTTTGCCATCCTCAGAAACAGTGCGTGTTGGCTGCAACCAAGGCTGGGGTTTAGACTGGGGTGTGCCAATGCTCCTGCTGGAACTAAAACCCAGAGGTTCCTAGTTAAAGGGTCTTGCTGTTCTGCTCAGGGTAAGACCAATCACCACATTAGGGATCAAGAAGAAATTTTACCCCGTGGTCAGACTGGCATGGGCTGGGGGAGGGGGGCATTGTTTTCCTTTGTAGCAGGGGTCATGATCCGTGTCCCTGGATCTCTTGAGTGTATTTTAACAACACTTGCAGCTGCAGGACATTGAAAGTGCCCTCATCCCTCTTCTTTAGCTGTGACAGGTTAGGGTGCTCTTGATTTTTTGGGGACAATGTGCCTTGTAGTTGTGCATCAGGGTTGTTGTGTACTTTTAGGAACAAGCTAGACAAGCTCTTGTATGGATGGTTTGGATAGAAATGATCCTGTCTTGAGTTGGGAGTTAACTAGATGACCTCCTGAGTTCCCTTCCCACCCTACTTTTCTATGATTCTGTGGTCAAAAATCAGACTGAGAGTGGGAGATAGCAAGAAAGTGACTTTATGGACTGGTAGTTACATCCCTGTGATGTGGGAAACCCAGGTGCAAGATTCAGAGCAAGAATCTGAACTTTCAGCTTAAAAGCAAGTGCCCTAAACACCATACTACTGAATTCTCCAGGATGGAGGTTGATGTCTCCAAGTTATGGATGAAATGGACCTCAGGAGGTCATCCCAAACTAGATCATCCCAGCCAAAGCTTTGTCTAGCCAGGTTTTGAAAACATCCAAGGATGCAGCTTCTACCACCTCTGTGGGTAACCTGCTCCAGTGTTTACTACCCTCCTAGTGAGAAAATTCTTCCTAATATCTAACCTAAATTTCCCTTGCTGCAACTTGAGACCATTGCTCCTTGTTCTGTCATCTGCCACCACTGAAAACAGTCTAGCTACATCCTCTTTCGAATCTCTCTTCAGGTAGTTGAAGGCTGCAATTAAAACCCTCCCCCCAGTCTTCTCTTCTCTAAACTAAATAAGCCAAGTTCCCCCAGTCTTTTCTCATAGTTCATGTCCCCCCAGCCCCCTCACCATTTTTGTTGCCCTCTGCTGGACTCTCTCCAATTTGTCCACATCCTATCTGTAGTGGGAGGCCCAAAACTGAACATAGTACTCCAGATGTGGCCTCACCAGTGCTGAATAAAGGGGAATAATCACTTCCCTGGACCTACTGGCAACACATTTACCAATGCAGCCCAGTATGCTGTTAGCCTTCTTGGCAACAAGGGCACACTGCTGACTCATATTCAGCTTATTGTCCACTATAACCCCCAGGTCCTTTTTTGCAGAGCTGCTGCTCAGCCAGTCAGCCCCCAGCCTGTACTGGTGCAGGGATTGTTCCGTCCTAAGTGCAGGATTTTGCACTTGTCTTTATTGAACCTCATGAAATTTCTTTTGGTCCAATCCTCCATTTTGTCTAGGTCACTGATTCCTAGCCCTAGTCTCCAAAGTACCTACTACTCCCCTCGGCTTGGTGTCATCTGCAAACATATCCTGTTTCAGGGTTCCCTAATTCAGTGGCATACAATGTACTGATATCAAGGAAGGACTAAAGATGTTGATGAAAGCCAGTACAGGTTGTCTAATGGGGTATGATATATGCCCAGACCTCTGCCCATGCACTGTAAAGTATGCTGATAATTAAGGCCACCTTTAAGTTCATCCTCAAGCCCATGCCACTATCCACCTTAAGTGTAAGCCCCAACACATAACCCCAGAATAGTCCAACCTAACCTTGAAACTCTGCTGAAATCCTAGGTACAAGGCTGACCCCACCCCTATTCACCTCCTTGCCTGCCCCTGCCTCTACTGCATTTGGAACTCACCCATATATGCAGGCCACAAGCACAGAAAGTCCATCATCCGCAACCCAACAGTCCCAAGTTCCTTCTGTGCCCTACTTTCTGTCTCAACTGTTCCAAAAGTAGAGACAAATCTGGAAGGAGAAGCTGGCCCACAGACCAATTCCTGGGATGGCTCTGCCTCACAACCAAGAAACACAAGACAATCAGCTTTGGTGCTGGCTAAAAGGTATGATATAGGCAGTGAAGACAAACTCACATTCTACCAGATGGTTCATCTGACCTCAGAGTTGACCCCAAGTGCCACCATAGAGGTTGTCTTAGGCCTGACCTGCAGCATTCTGCTGTTCCCGTCATTGACCTCACGTGGTTCTGTCAATCCCAATTTAACAGTTCCTCCTCCTGTTTTCAGGTCTGGTGCCCACAGAGCTCTGCCAATGTTCCTCAGCCTTGGCCTGCAATCACTTGCTGTTACATTGATAGGTATTGTGCTGGACTGATATTAAGATTGCAATAGTTTCCAAATGTTCCAAGCAGAAGCAGGCCCCACTGTGTTAAGTATTATGTGAATGTAAATTAGGAGACAGTTCATGTCCCTGTCCAGTGCTTGGCACAGTGGGAGTTTTGGTCCATAACTAGAGCTCCTAAGAACTACTGCAATATTAAATACATGAATAAGTAATAACAACAGAGAGATTGCAGTCTAAAATATGCAAGAAAAACTGAAGAGTTGGGTGCTGCATTATAACATAAAACTGCATATTTCTGCTATTTTTAGACACACCAGGTTTTTGACTTATTAAAAGTGCTCTGCTCCAATCTTGCTTTCCCCTACAGACAGTCATTCCACCTGGCTGTGGATATGCTGAAGTTCAGCTCTACCATTGTAACTGCCCAAGAGATGCGTATCATATGGTCCTGGATTCCTGAGCGATTCTCCTTATTCCCTCCTGTCTTATTATTCTCCACCTCAGACGATGGGTACAGCTTACAAAGGTATAGTGACATCTGCAAAATTGTATCAAATGGGCCAGATTTCTAGTTAGGGAAAATTGACATAGCCTCATTGACTGAAATGGTGCTATTTGGATCTACAGCAGTTGAGGTTTGGATTCAATAACTGTACCTAATGTTTGAGCAATTTATTTTAGCAAGATGGTCTGTTGTATGAACTTCCTTGAGACTTATGACTGTTCAGCTCTCTATAGAGATGTTCTTCTCTAAAGCCTTGAACCAATGTATTGTATTTGTGGGAGACACGCATGTTATCTCAGGGGTTCAGAAATGTTTTTCTTACGATGGCTGTTTCATCTGATGTGAAATATGTTTGACTGATTTCAGTCCAGTTCCTTGGAGACACACATCCACAACAGAAAACCACTATACCACTGTCATCCTTGTGGATGACAGGCCAAGGATTGAATGGGCCATGGAGAGCAATCAGTGTTCTTGCTCTCTAAAGATGGCATCTCTAGATCAAGGCTGTTGTATGGAAGGGTTGTCCAACTTCTTAGTGGTCGGGGCTGCACACCATGGAGGCTGCACCAGCAAGGCCCACAGCCTTGCCTTACATCCCCAGCTATGGGCTCCCCCTGGCTCTCCCTGTGGGCTCCCCTGTGCTATGAGCTTCCCTGGCATTGCATGCATGTGACCCCCACAACCTCTACAGCACACACACAGCCATCCCCTATCACCTCCCTTACTGCAGGCTCCCTCAGCACTGCAGGCTAACCCCTGTCACTCTGCCCCATCCCCCAGGGTAGGGGCAGGAAATAAAAGCCAAAGAAGAGAGGGGGAGCCTGAAGACCCTGGCTATAGCAGCAGCCAGAGCAGTGAGGGGAGCCATGGCCCTTGGGCAGCCCAGGGGCAGGGGCAGGGCTGGTGGGTGGGAATACTGTAGATTAATCCTTTGTGGCCTGCCAGTGGGGCATCCCTGTTATATGGGAATCACACAGAGCTGGCAGCCCAGTACCTCCTACCCGCTTTAAACTTACTTGAAGATAAGCAGTAAATATTTCCTATTTCTTGTGTAAAGTTTAAGTCCAAAACGTGTAGTTAGCTGTGCTGTCCTGCTGCTTCTCACCTAAGGCAGCATGTACTGGGAGCAGCAATCCCTCTGCCTGTGCCCTGTTCCCTCTAGCTATCCCACAAGAACTCACGGCACAGAGGCAGTACCAACTCCTATTCCGAATTATTTGCTCCAACTCTTGTTGGCTGAATATTTGGGCTTCAAAGCTCTATTTAGGTAGCAGTATTAGGCATCCAGACACATAAATATAGCATTGATCAGCACAACATAAACCCCAAGCCAGACAGGCAAGCAGTCAGACATTCCTCCTGGCCTCTGCTCCAACTTATGGAAGCAGAGTGATGGAAAGGGTGAATGGCAAATTCCCCAATCAATCTACAGATAAAAAATTAACAAACATTTGAGCTGCAGTCCAAAGTGCAGTGAAATCACTGGGAGTCTTTCCACTGCTCTGGATGGGCTTTGGATTAGGCCCCTTTAATGATTTGCACCACCTGCTCCTTGATGCTCACAGACAGCAATCACAAGATGACTGTGGGCAGGATCCAGCCAAGCTCATTTTTTAACTGTGAATGTGGATTTCTAAAACTTACCTACACTTGTCTCTGCTCTCTTACAATGACATCTGGTGCCTGGGCATATACCATTCCCTCTCAGCACCTGTTCCTTTGCCATCAAAAGGGAAGCTCTCTACATTAGTGTGCAAAAGTAAAGCCCAGTCGGGCATTTTTAAACTTCCCATTTGTTTGACAGCACCAAGGTTGACAGTGTTCTTGTATCCTCTGTACCCACTCTGACAGCAAAGAGGCTGCAAAACAGACTAAAGGTGAATTCCCCTGCTGCAGGACCAATGCAAGGAGCCTTATCCCCATCTATACTTATAAGACCATGAGTAGAGTGTAGGTTAGAGGCGTGGATGTGGACACTGCCCTGTGGAGATTCTGGGCTGCAGTGCAGACCGCTGGCAACCTCAAACAGGCCAAATCTCGCTCACCAAAGGGGCTGTTTTGGAATGTAGGTAGTGTCAAGGTGACCCAAAGCCCCCCGCTCTCCTTGTCTGAGCCTTTACTTTTGTGCATCACAAAAGAACCCAGCCCAATGTAAATACATGGTGTCCAAGTAACACAGACTCTCAGCAGAACATTTTTAAAAAGCATCCAAGTTAAACAAAGCTTACTTTGTAACAACCCTACCGTGATGTTTTCTCTACCCAGACTGCGAGTCTGAGGTAGGACTTTGCATGTCTTGGCTGTGATTTTATGTTTGGATTTATCTAAACAATTACCTGCTTTGCTGGGCAAAAATTATGACATTAGAATACCCATAATAAAGTGACTTCCCAAGTTACTAACAAATACAAAAGATGCTGGAGCTAAATGATTAAGTGTTTCTGTCACTGTCCCTTTATGAGTTTGCTCAGGCAGGCTATTTAACATTACAATAGTTTCCAGAAGAGCTGTAACTGTTCTTAACAATCCTTTACATTTTGATTCAGCTTGCTATGTTTATAAAAGATTATTTCAACCCCTAACCAAAGAGTTTGTAGTCAGATTTTTTCATCAGTGCAAGCTAAACCAGAGGGGTTCTACCAAGGTTAAATATAGCCCTTGGCAGAGCGTAGCTGACAAGTTTTGTGCCCTGGGCAAACACCCACCAGAGAACAGATGTCTGTGGGAGTGGGGTTGGCAAGTGCCAGAGGGGAAGGGATGTCAGGGAGGTCAGTCTTTTTGCCCAGGGGAACCAAAGACCTTGGCTGGCTGGCTGCCCATGGCTGCTGCTGCTACAGCAAAGACTCCCCAGGAGGCTGCCACCCAGCACCCCCTCGAAGTTGGCACCCAGGGCTGGTACCCTGCTTGCCCACCCCTAGTTACACTACTAGCCCATGGATTTAAAATGTTAAAACTGTAACCCAAGGGACATGTAATCTTCAACAAGATGGCCCCTGTTTCCACAACAGCAGTGGAAACCCCCACAGAAACCCAACAGGGAATGATACAGCACTACTGCCACAACCCAGAAAAAGTGAAAAGGGGGAAAATGCAAAGTCTGATTAAAAAATATAGGTCTGGCTGTGGAGAAAATGGAGTGCAGCACCTTCTGAAAGCCTGCTTCGCGTAAGAGTGGCAGCATCCACATGCAGTGACGCCATCCATTATTGTTACCTTTATCATCAGTAACCACCACTGGTCTGTGCCATGTGAGTTGCATATTAGGCTCAGTAATTCCAGTAGCCAAACAGATCCTTGAACCTTTGATCTTGCAGTTCATGATAGTGTTGCCTGACCAATGGCACACATATGTCTAAGTGCTCTGTTCTTTCCCCCTCTCCTCCCAGTTCTGCTGACATTGAGATTGTCTTGTTCTCTTCTCTATTGGAACAGTTGCACTTCCAGGTTAGCTTCATGGTTTGGGGAGAGCTCCCAGAATAGAGGCTCCTTTGACTGGTCCTGGGTTTGATGGTACTCCGTTTGTGACCTTAACCTCTGAATGGCAGCTTTCACATATGAAAAATAGGGGTGGCTATGCTCACTCCTTACAAGGGTGTTTCAAATGTTTGTAAAGTGCTAATGATTGACAATGTGATTCTATGTATAGACAGAGCTCCCTCATGCTGTCTCCCTCTAGCCAACCTGAGGCGGTACAGTCCATCAACAATATAAAATGTAGTTTTCCTGAACTATGAGCAGGGTAGGACATGCTCAGGGCACCAGGCATTTTATTTATTATTTATTTATTAGATTTATGTACTGCCCTTCCCAGCAAAGTTCCTGGCAATTTACAAGAAGAGAATAAAACAGCTTATAAAACAAGGGAATGTACAAGAAAACAAAACAAGAGAACAAAATTACTAAGCAAGCAGGGGTGAGTCTCCAAGAGCACATAACTCCTGTGCTCCAGACTCCCAGACTCTGCATTGGCTTCCAGTAACTTTCTGGGCACAGTTCAAGGTGATGATTTTGACCTATCAGGCACTAAACGGTCAGGGCCCTGAGTACGTAGGGGACTGCCTTCTCCTTTTTGTCTCATCATGATCCAGAAGCATAGCAGGGCAGCTCCATCTCAAGGTTACAAAGACAGGAATGATGGTGGCCATATCTGAATCTGAAAGAAAGCCCTCTTACCAGATGGAGTTGATAAAAGGCCTTATAGCCACCACTACCACCACAACCTGGAGATCTACTTGTAGGAGAGGACCCAGGAGCACCCCATGGTTGCAATAGTGAGTAACAATGGGAGGCTGAGCCCCATTAATGACAGGTGCTGCAATCTCCCAAGTCAAGCAGTCTGCCCACCACTGTAAGGGATCGTTAGGCTGTAGGCAGTCAGTTCAAGTGGATTGCACTAGATCAGGGGTTTCCCGGAGTGTAAGCCATGGTCAAAACCAGATAGCTGTCCTAGTCCAGGATAGCAAGCTGAATTTGAGATGCGGCCCTCATCAGGGCACACCGCTAATGCAGCCCAGGAGGTCCAAGACAAAAACAGGAGCAAGTAGATTTCATAGATTTCATAGACATTAGGACTGGAAGGGACCTCGCAATATCATCGGGTCCAGCCCCTTGCCCCAGGGGCAGGAAGTCAGCTGGGGTCAGATCATCCCAGCAAGATAAGCATCCAAGCATTTCTTAAAGGTATCCAGAGTAGATGCTTGCACCACTTCTGGGGGGAGTCTATTCCAGACTCTGGAGACTTGGATGGTAAAGAAGTTTTCCCTTATGTCCAGTCTAAAATGGTCTTCCAGCAGTTTGTGACCGTTAGATCTTGTCTTCCCTTGGGGTGCCCTGGTGAACAGATGTTCTCCCAGTTCCTGATGCACACCCCTAATATACTAATAGGCTGCCACCAAGTCACCCCATAGCCTGTGCTTCTCCAGGCTGAAGAGTCCCATGCCCCTCAGTCTCTCCTCATAAGGCCTGTTCTCTTGACCTCTAATCATGTGTGCGGCTCTCCTCTGGACTCGCTCAAGCTTCTCCACATCCTTTTGAAGTGTGGAGCCCACAATTGGCTGCAGTAGGAGTAAGCAGGAGGGTCCAAGCCAGAGATTCAGAACATGGAGTCACACCAGCTAGAGGTCCAGAGCACATAACTGCACAAATTGTGTGGCACTCTTAAAAAGATTTCATGGCACACCAGGATGCTGGAGCACCCTGGTTGAGAATTACTTCTCTGCTAGAGAACTGCTCTAACCAGATAATGAATATTAACCTATTTGGACAATTGCCTGCACTATCAACAGCAACAGATCTGAGAATTACCAGCCAATAAAAAAGATCATATTCTAATGCCTGAAGGACCGTGTCAAAGGAGCACTCACGGAGAGTTGACACAACATCAGCCAATGATGGGTCTATATAAATATACTGCTCCTGGTACTGTAAAACGGAACATGCCAACCCTATGGGCTCTCTACTGAGTGCCCTAGTGTAACTATCAAATCAGGTAGGTCTCTCCTCAGTTTCAAGCTCATATCAATCGGTTTACTTTGCTCATCTCTGCAGGTTTTATTCATGCTGTGAAGGTTACGAACCAACAGTACTGCTCCTAAAAACAACACGGGAGGAAGTAAGTACCATATTATCCAAACACGGAAGAGTACTACGAGGAGATTCAGATTGGTCCAGGAGAGAAATGAATATGTAGGCAGATATATTCTACACCCTGATTTTTTAACCAGGGGTGCTGCCAGATCCTATGAAGGGTGCCACAATGTACGAGGAGATAAGTAGATAAGCTAAGTAGAAAAAAGCAGGTTCAGGCTTGTCCCTGCCTGAACGATCCCCCCACTCCTACTGCCCTGCCCCTCTGCTGGGAGGTAAGCACTATAATATGTGCATTCATTTTTGAAATTGGGTGCTACTTAATTCCCAAATGTTATGAAGGGGGGAGCTTGAGTCCAGTGAAGGGTGCAGTTTAATCATGAGATGACAAAGGCTTGGATTACAGCAGCCATCTCCACATCAGAAAATATATATATAGAACCAAACCTGATTTCACTTTATGCATCTAAGTGCCTTTTATTTATATAGGTTCCCTAGGCTCTGTATCCTGCCTCGTGGCTTTTAAGTACCTAACATTTAATATTTTTGGATAAAATAGATAAATAGCAGCAGGGTATCTTCTGTACTACTGGGAGCAGGGGCCAGAGTCTGAGCCCAAGGGTCCCCTTCCTTTCAGGGCAATATCTATGTCACTGAGCCACACTTTCAATGGCTTACTTTCCTCATAGCCCAATATATCTTCCCCCAGCTTCCATCCATGAAGGCTATAGACACAGGGCCCAATTTATCCCTGTGCTGCAGCATCTTTACAGTAGCACTGTGGAAAAAAAAAACATACTCTATCAAGGAAATTCCTTGATCCTGGTGGAAATCAATGGAGGGTTTTGGTGATTAATAAGGAAGAAGATGGATCTGTGGAGAAGGACATTTTCTCCAATGAACGTGTCCCTCTTTGATTTCAATAACAGAAAGACCAGAGAAAGAAAATAAAAATAGAGATGTCTTCCTTAACATCTGAAAGTGGTAAAATATCTACAAAAACAAAAAGTAGGCATCTTCCCAGGGACTTTTCAGAGCAGTTCATAAATCCATACTTTATCTCTGCACCCTTGGTCAAATGGTAGGAAGATGATACTGTAAATCTCTCGGGCATCCAAAAGATTTATCAGCCAACAGGTACAGGTTGCCCAGGATCTGACCCTCTAGCTTGACAATGGGATAAACAGTTTGCTTCCTTCCAGTGCCTTGTCTAGACCATCATGGATTTCCTCAGTTATTCTCATTTTCAGTAACACAAGATCAAATCTGCTCTGTTTTCAAGCAAAAAAAGTTTTATTTTATTTTATTTTTGTTTGTTTCTATCCAAAAACTCATCTTGGCAGCTGGGAATCAAGCCAAGTTCTTTTCTTCTCACATGTTACCACCAGCAGGTAGGGCTGTTCAGGCCAAATTAGGTCTTTAGTTACTCCAGAACAACATTGCTGTTTTCCAGTTCTGCCCTCAGTGGCCCCTGAGGCAGTCCTATTGCCCTCCGGTAGAACAGATGGGAATGCAGTTAACCTGCTAATTCATGAAGAGGAACGGGGTCCAACCCCTGTACATGGGTGCACATCATCATGCTAACAGAGCAAAAAGCAGCAGAAACAGCCTAGTCACTATGGCCCTGGACACACAGAGTGGGGCAGATCAGCTAAGCAAGAAGAAGCTGTTAAGTATCCTTTCAGTGTAGACCTGATGGGCACAATTCTGCCTTTTGATCCAAACCAGGAGCCCCAGTTCTGGTAGTCTACTTTCAAAATTCCCACGTGGTCCAAATCTGGGTAACCAAATAAGTGTGCGTGTGTAAATCAAAGGTTGCCACTCCCCCAACACTGCGTCTGCCTAGCCTGTGATTTCTGTTATTTAACCTTGTTGATGCTTTCCCTGCTGTACTAATTCACTGACAACTAAATTGTTCTTCATACGCCCTCCTTAAGGTGTGTGGTGCATTTCTGTCTTCTGACTGGAATGAAAGGAAAAGGAGTGGGGGTACATCCAGCTTTTTTGGCACAGGGGAATGCTTTGTTTTTAGCGTAAGTCTTACTCTATTTCCCACCTTATTTATTTATCATTTATCTTATTTATAGTTTGTGTATTTTAAGATTTACGGTAATTTTTGTTCACCTCTCGTATAACTCTCACTGTGGCAGTTAACTACCAAAGCATACAACCAGCAGGTACTATCACTGCTTCCTTCACACAGCTCCACCAGTGTCCCTTGCTTCTGACAGGAAAAAATACAGAAGAACAGAGAAATTGTTGTGTTGGATGAGAACAGAGGTCCATCAGGTCCCAGTGTCTATCGGGTCCTCGAGTCAAGGTGCATTAAGCCTTGTAGTGCAATGTAGAGTTTAATCCAGGGATGCCAAACTCACTTTGGGCCCCAGGCTGGATTCGGACCACAGGGGCTCCTCCCAGGCTAGATCCACGGGACAATGTCTGGGGGGCAGTGTTGGTACAGGTCAGGCAGCAGCATGGATTTCAAGGCATGGGGCGACACAGAGATACATCTGTGGGGTGCACAGCCAGGAGCATGCATCCTTGAGGAGCCAGGGGCATGGAGCAGGGTGGAGCTCTGGCTGGGCTGCAGCCAGGGGTGTGCAGTGGTGCAGGTCCAGGTTTGTCCAGAGCTCCACACCACTGCATGCCCCCCGTCAACATATGCCCCTGGCTCTACACTGGCCAAATATAACTCCATGCCACTGCAGGCCCCCTGGAGTCACAGTGCAGTATGCCCCTGGCACAGTCAACACACCAGAGTTCAGTACCGCTGGGCAGTGACAGAGCTAGGGGCATGTGGCTGCACGGAGTTGTGTTTGGGAAGCACAGAGCCAGGGCCATGCGTCCTCAAGGAGCTGGCAAAGTGCAGCGGCATGGAGCTCTGGCCAAACACAGCTCCACACCACTGCACACCCCTGGATCCGTGCCACTGCCCAGCAGCAGAACTCTGGCTGGACAGCAGTGCCAGGGGCATGCTGCAGCACAGAGCTGAGGGTGTGCACTAGTAGTGCACCAGACTACCAGTCAGCCAGATGCAATCCGTGCGCCATATATTTGACACCCCTGGTTTAATTTATGGGAGTTGGAGCAGATTCAGCCCTGTCAGGATTTATCATCCCCTCCAAAGACAGTGTCATAATTACAGGGCTAGTGATACCCTTCCCTATTCTGAACATGCCTTCTCAGCAATCAGGCCTGCATCCCTTCATTTCTCTTGGCAAGAAATCACATAATTTTACCACTCTTATATCAGGCTCTGAACCAGAGCACCCCCTGGATCAGCCATGATCACCCAACCAGTCTCACTGCATTCAATACTTATGGTTCTTCCATTTGAAAATCTGTGGTCAGTGGTGTATCACGAGACCAAACAGCCTTCTTAAGCCAAAATATTGTTTAAACTTTACAGAAGGAAGAAAGCATAACATAAAAAAAAAGAATATTAAAAGAATAATTTACGCTCTCACCTTTCTTACTTAAGTCCTGTCCCTCTGTGATAAAAGCCTAGGAAGACTTAGTTTCTTCAAATCCTCCAGTGAGGGTTGGTGTCTATGGGAATAGCATCTCAGCAATATCTGTCTGTCCTTGCTTTTTATTCACCCGTATGTCCTTTGTCTTGATTTCTGGAGCATAAACTCCAGTCTCTTGACAAACTGGTCCAATGAGCTCAGTGGGGAGTTGGAGGCAGAACAGCAAAGCAAATCACTTTTGTGTTGTTCTTTCTCTATCAGTAATGGGATGGATATCTGAAGCCACTGTACTCTTCATACAATAATCCCCCTTAAAACAGTTAGACAAGCATACAGAATACACAGTATTCATAAATTATTACCAAGCAGTCTCATCTCTTCCATGATATCTCCAGACATAGAGCAGTTTCGATACAACAAGCAGACCACCCCATGGGAGATCCTGCAGGGCGTTAGCCATAATGCTCCATTGGTGGAGTTTGGCCCTGTTACCCCCTGCTGAATAGCCATCACTTACAGACTTACCGCCGATATCCACAGAAATAACCAAACACCCAGACCCACTTAATATCATTTGGCAGGAAAGTATTCAAAGGATATGCTGCAGTGCTCATGTGTTGCCTTGTTTTATAGGTGCGCCCTGAAATGGAGAGGTATGAGTGGGTGTTTATCAAGAAACCAGAGCTGACCAAGGCAGTCCCTCGTTCACCCCGCCAGCGCTCATCTTCTCTCTCCTCCCCCACCGACATCTCATCTTCCCCTAATGGCCACGTGGCCAGTTCAAACCACCTCTCAGTGCCAGTTCTGCAGAGAGGAAAGGTTCGCCTTTCTCCATTTTTGGCAATAAGACACTTCCTGCTGCCTTCAAAAACAGCTTCCATGTTCATGTCTGGGACTCAAGAAGGAATCATTATTGGTAACCATGCCATTAATAAGTATCCTCACATTCTCAGAAAAGAGAGTGCTATCCTAGCCCAAAAGCACTCCAGCCCAAACTCTAATTTACACATGTCCACTCAGGGGGTGGTATGGTACTGAACAGTCTCAAGGTGCTTTCTCTGAATGCTCCAGAGAACACAGAGGGAAGGTATGCGTGAAAACTATCCCTAGCCTGATCTTCTCTCTGAAGCTGGCTACCTCTGTTGCCTGATGCTATCAATAGAGAATGGCGAGGTGCAGTCATGGGCCCACATCCTCTCTGCTTTGCATAATTTGTACCTTTAGGGCTGCCAGAGTGGTGGCACCCACTCGCTTTGGGATACCACAAGCCTTGTGACTGTGCCTGAGACTTGTGAAGGCACTTACTGTCTGCAATATCCCTGTCCAAATGGCAGCTGGAGTTTACCACTGTATATTTTTAACAAAAAAGTATCAGGAAGAAACAAAGGTAGGAAGTCCATTCGTGACTTAATAATGAGCCCTAACTGTGCATGAGGAATTACACCATAGCTTACAGAGTTGCAGATTAAATCTTTGAGACCTAGTGTCATTCAACTGATTCACAACTATTACATCAAAAATGAGCAGAACTAATTGTCTTGGCAATACAAAGCTCTTCCATTTCAGATAAAGGAGAATTTGCATTAGCTGTTAGCAACAGCAAGATGCTATTGCTACAAAGGCAGCTAGGGAGCAGTGTTAGGCAGACACAAAGCACAAGTGGGGCATCTTAAAGTAATGCTCAGCCTGTAGCCTGCCCTACAGTTGGGAAAGAATTAACTTCCCCAAACTGTACCTCTGTTTCATTCCCCAAGCAATCAGATGCAGAAATGAAATTGAGGTCAAGTGCAATGTCTGTGAAAACAAGATTTTTAAAATCTCCATCCAATTTAATAATTTAGGTCCAACTACTTGAGCAATCTCCAATATTGTCTGTATTGCAGTCTGTTGTCCCATGAGGTAACTCTTCAGAAGCTGTTGCATGAGAAGTAGACAGTGACTTCCAGTTTGGCATAGAAAGGTAATGGACCAGATAAGATGAAGGTCTCTTCTACTTCCAGCTGTATACCACAGTCAAGAGGAAATAAAACTAAGTAGGAACTGAGACATGAGTGGGATGATTGGGATTCTTTTGAGATCAGCCCCTCTGTTTACCTAATAACCTGGTGAGAGCAGATCCCCAACAATCCTTCCCATTCTTTTACAGGAGGTGGAGGAGGCCAAGCTCTGTGCATTGATGCTGACCTGCTTCATGGAAGGACAGAGCACTGTGAGACATTTGACAACCCTCCGCTCTGTGAAGAGAACTTCCAGGTGCAGCTCCTTGAAGTCTGGGGTTTTCAGAATGCCTAAATTATTGCTAAAATTGCTTCTGCCTGCCCCATATTAATCAATGAAAGATTCATCACCACTGGAGGATGTATGACTGATTGACTCCAAAGGCCTGACTGTCATGGAGGAAGTCCCCACATGGTGGCAGCCTGCATTTCTCTTGCTACTTTGTACCCCACTGCTAGCCATTCTCCATATTTTCCATCTTCATCATAGTGGACAGTGATGATGACTAGGAATGAGGGAAATAAAGGTCCACAGTACAACCTGTTGTTATAGGTACTGCCTTGCTATGAATGTATGATAATAACTCAGCCCCAAAATGTTTGCACACAGTTCAGATTAAACCCCCAATTTCTGGAGTTTGGAAAAATGAGCTAATTTGCATATTTTCTTGAATCTTTCTACGACTGACTTGTAAGGTTTCCATCCTGGTCCCAAGTCCAAAATGATTATAACTAGGAATAGAACCTCTATAGTCTTTGAAGGTCACCAGATAGTGCGTGCAGTGACAAGTTAGTTATCCTATGATATGGTACACAAGTGGCTTTCATGTGCAGCTACCCATTTTAGCAAAGTAGTTTTGACAGTTACCACCAGAGCCAATTATCTACACCATTTTTGAAAATGCAGCAAATTCCGGGCAGATTGCAAGCAGTAGCATAACTAGGGGTGGGCAAGGAGGCCACAAGCCCCCGGCATTGCTTTAGGGTGGGATTTGCTGGAACCAAGGCTAGGGGGTCTGTGCTAGAATTGAAGCAGCTAAGCTGCTAGTCCAGAAGCTGCAGGCTGGGACTGGTGGAGACAGGCTAGGAATTGGACAGTGATCTCAAGGAGGCTCTTGGGTGCTTGACAGATAAGTGCTGGGCATGAAAGAAGAAGCAAGAGATGAAGGCAGAGGGATGCACCCTTGCTGCAGAATTAGGGATTTTATTTCTTTACTCACCATGGTATTCAGCAGCACCTTTGTGGGGGCAGCTGAGAGATTTTACTCATTAGCTGCCAGGACTCCAATGAGCCCCTGGGTACTGTCCCGTTCCCTCTACCCCTGCCCCGCAACCAACTTTGCCCAGAAGCAAAAGAGCTTGCCATGCCTCTGAATGCAAAAGTCTTCAGATGCTCCACAGACTCTGCTCCAGCCTAAATACATATAACTATGTAGTTGTGCCTCTGCACCGTGTGTGGAAAAAGGCAGGTGATGTATCCCTAGAACACATAGCTAATGTAGAGCCACCTTGGTAGGAAAAAGTAGTAGAACTCTGGAAGTAATAGCTTCCCTCTAAGTGAATATTTTTTGCTTGCAATTTCTGGAGACCCCATGGTAGCCAGCAGTTTTAGTATGGTCAAGACATTTGAGTAAAGGATTTGTCACAGAGACAAGACCCTCTCCATCCTAGAAGTGGGGTTGCCAGGATCCAAGCTGAGGCCTCTTAGTGAACCAATACAACAGAGCTTGCCCAGGTTTACACCTGTTTTGAAAATGGAAAGAGAGCACTTTTCTCTTGAATGTCAAGCATAGCACTAAACTCATCTGAGATATGCAAATCCACAATATTTATTTAAGCTTTTCTCAGTAAACTAGCATAACATATTATTGTAAACCTTCCTCATCGTGGGGCTTGTACTAAACTGAAGAGGTGTTTTCAGAGCAGTGTTAGTGTCATAAGAATCTAAATAGTTAGAACATCTGGCAGTCTAATCTATTCTGTCATTAGTTATCCACCATTAGAACAATAAAAAATTAATCATTTTTAAAGATGAACTATAATCATGTAAACTATGATAAGTCCAATGTAGTAGTGAATGTGTTTTTTAATCCCTATAAAAATCATTTAGTTGGCAGAATGAAAACATGCTTTCAAAGTCCAAATATATTTTTCATTTAAAGTTTTATTTTAACGGCACTCATTCTCTCCAGTTATAAAGAGCAGATGTGGCTTCCTCCAAGGAGATAATTCTAGAAATGCTAGGTGAATATGGGTCAGAGAGAAGAGTCTCATACCCACAAAGTCATCTATGCAGACATTCAAATCAATAGTAATAACTTGTGGTCTTCAAAGTACATCTGGTAAGATAAGATGTGAAGTCTGTATTTCTGCTCTTTTATATCAGTTTTGTTTTACTGTTAGTCTAATAAAGCTACTGATACATGAATAGGTTTAATTCATAGAAGGCATAAACCTGAAACCAGAATCAGGACCATGGTGTTGTATATACAGTGATGTGCTCAGACATCATTTTCCTACACACATGCTTAGCAGAACCTGAACAGGGGCCTGGGGGCTTGCCAGAGCTCATTGCATTGGGATCACCCTTTCCCATAAGCTCCCCCTTTTGTTGTTTCATGAGCTCTGCCAGTCATAAAAATGATTCATAAAGGTCAGGGTTGTTCTTTCATGCCCTGAATCTGGCCAATAAATTCCTGTTTTGAATTTGAGGAGTTCTGCTAAGACCTGGCCAATATTTGCCCCTTCCTAAGGCTATATACTGAACCAGCCAGATTTTCTGGGTGAAATTGCTAAGCAGAGGGATACACTTATTTTACCAGATGCATTC